AACATGTTTTCACTTCTGAAGTTAATCAATAGATTACAAAGAACTCAAATTCAAGGGTGTGCATGATCAGATAACTCCATGATAATAAACCTGCGCACCAATTAGCCTTGATTTAAAGCTTATCTAGAGAAGAAGAATTGAGGTTTAGCTTTATCCCGCTAATAAGCTTGACTTCCTTTTCTGTGGCATTTTGGTTACATTCATACATCAAAAGATGCCTTCGCAGTCACCGGTTAGAGCCCGTAGTGCCATCGGAAGCGCTCTCTACCAGTGTATAAAGAGTATACTCAAAGAATATTTCAAAACTGATTTCGGAATTGACTCTAAGGATGTTTAGGTGTGTCAAGTCAATGGTGAATATTTTGAAGGCATGGCCTATTTATAAAAAACGCGCTTCTGTCGCCACAAATTAAAATATGCCCCTAGTATAACTTGATACGTTTTTAATCACAGACGTTTTGAAGATGTACTCGAGTTAAATTTTGATTTCCTAAAAAAAAAAAACAACTCATAATATGCATGGGTATGTTTATTTAATTCTTACTTACAAATAAGTTGACGGTTGATTTATTGAGAAAAAAAACAACAGTTTAGTGTTGTTTTCTTGAATAATTAGAAACTTTTATGCAACAGAACGGAAACAAAAACAGTAAAAAAAAACACCAGGTCATATTCGTAATGTAGGCCAGACCCATCCTGTTTTCATAAAAACGGGAGGGTCTATTATATTACTTAAAAAATCCCATATTGTCAGAGCCGTACCCTTCAGGAACTAAACAATAGGGTCATTACAATGCAGCCGCTTTTGTATTACATACCAATAGAGGATTTATCGATTCTTCTCATTCCTAAATCATTCCTAAACATTTCATGTATAATATGATGTCCGATACACCTTAAATAACGGAAAATTCCGTTGTTGACCTTACCTATTCCGTTCTTTTAGTTATAAAACAATAGAGATTAATCATACTTCACACGCGGGATAATTTAAGATATTATACATGAAAATTACGTTGCCACGCACTATTTCAATTTATACTCATCTGTATAGATTTTATACGTAACCGCAGCTAAATTTCTTACCATTTTTTTGAAAATAATATTATTATTAACCACATTCAGTGTATCTGTATACATCCTTTTTAAGTCAATATCATTAACCTTGTGTGTTAACATATAATATTTCACCCTTAACTTAATACGGCGTGTTCTCAGAGCGTGAAAATGTTTATTCCCATACAATTATAAAATGATTTTAAATTTAATATCGATTTCAACGCTTAAAACTTGAAAAAAGGTTTCACGTAAGTAATATTTCACTCAATTATTGGTCTGATTTGTACATATATCGCGTAAATTTTTTTTATAGCTATGTTATGATCGATAATGTCATAATAGTACTATGGGGTTCAAGTCGGTTCAGATTGTCACATTATCGGTTTTTTTCCAATTCCTTCCTATAACGGTAAATTTTTTTGATTATGGGATCGAAAAATCTTTCCGTTTTGCCTGACGTTCAAGCATTATTTTGGCTATGGCTGTCATCTGTTTCGCCAGTAGAACCCGGCGTATATAAAATTGTTCATTCTTTGGTTGTCCCATAGGTTTGAGTCTTTCACCGGACTGCCAGAATGAAGTGAAATACTTTTTGAAGCTGATTTTGTTACGTTCCTCTTCCGACATTTGCCCATAGTTTCGTCTGTACTCATTTATGTCATAGTGTTAAATACTTTAAACAAAGTATCGAGCAATAGATATACAGTACTTTATGTGGCAAATACTTTCAATCTATCCCATCATTATCATCGTCGTCGACGTCGCTCTCGTCGCTTCTGTCTTTTCAACATCTTTCTTTTTAATATACTCGTCCATAAATGCTTCGAAATAATGTCTGTATTTCGTTAATGATAGACGAATGGCGCGACGCGTTCCAGATCCAATTCCTGTTGGAGTAATTTGTCTACACGTTTCATAATTTTGTTGTAAAGATAACCCTCTTTCACTTTGAAAATGTAAGATATGAACATGGCGTATGCTTCCATGAAAGCACGTACGTCGTCATCTCGAAGGACGTTATTGGCTTTGGTTTTAGCTTTAAAAGAATACAAACCCTGCTTTTTGTATTTATCCACCTTATCTTCCCGCTTTCATTTTAAACCCTAAAAATCTCGGCCAACTTTTTGAAAACCTTGTTTTCTTGATCCGAGTATTGAAAAGGGTCATCGCTTTCTATTTTCTTATTTCATCCTTTTATTGGGATACACATCTTCATCAGGTGATTGTCGCTTTTGTGATTGACGTTCGGAACACCAACGGTTCACGTGATCGTGTATATTTTCGAAAACGATACCACAGTCGTCGCAAGAAGGTATTGCTCCCCCTTGATAAATGCTTTTCTGACGATTTCGCGTCGAGTAGTTGTAACTATCTTTCCGTTTCACAGGACTTCCAGGGGGTGTACTCTCTGATTGTTTTCCATGAAATGATCGTTATCATGGTCGTATGTCTCTTTTATACGAAATATATCATTGGCTTAAGTCAACCAGTAAATATCCGTATGGCTGACTTGTAGCGTCGTCAAAGTGCCTTAACAGCGCTTAAGGATTTGTTGGATATATTTGTTTAGCCAGGGTCGCGGTCGGCTGTTTATCTACAGGATTAATTAATAATACCACGTTATGACAGTTTCTGCTCTGTGTGGGATCCTTGCTAAAATACAAGTTTTGGTTCAGGGCAATCACTGAAAAATTCCTGTGATGACTGTCCTCTGTGAAGAGATCCGTATCCTGTTGATCTTTCGCGGTCAATCCTTTAAATTAAGATAAGCATATACATTAGCCTTAAGAAAGGAACCCAACTTATGGTTTATCACCATATTGCATCAGGTTGGTCCTGACACCATACAGGTAAAAGGATGTTGAAACTTGAATTCCTTATGATGATTATTCTGTTGTTGTGGTGGTGGTGGTCACTGCTGCTGTGGCTGCTGATGTGGATGTAACTGCTGCTGCTGTGGCAGCTACTGTGGTGGTGGTAACGGCTGCTGCTGTGGTGGTGGCTGCTGCTGCTGTGGTGGTTTTGGTCGCTCCTGCTGCTAAGGTAGTGGTGGTGCTGGTGGAAGCTGATTATGCTGCTGCTGCTGCTGAAACATATCCCTGTTATATTGCTGCTGCTGACAACTAGTATATTTAGTTTTGCAGTGTCTTTTCAAGTCGTGTTCCCAAATGTAGTTTTTGTCACATAAATTACACTGGTAACTCATATTTACGATGTTTACACGATCACTGCTTATGATGAAATTAGACGTTTTGAACCTTGTGCGTTCTTTATGTCTTTATCCAGGCAACTCTCGCAGTACAATGCAGAACCTTCATTGTCGTAATAAAACCCTTCGTCATCATCGGGGCAATAATGCTTTTATCCCAGAAACATACTAAAAATTAACCGGACTAAATGACTCGAGGTATAGTACACTTATCGCATACAACGTTCATGTTGTATCAAATTTGTTCTTTACGAGGATACGATATCAAAATTTACTTTTCGAATGAGACAAGATGTTTTTGACGTTTAATATATTAACTGTAAATGCATTGAAATTTTAAGCGTTGAAATTGATTAAAGAGATAAAACTACTGTCAACCATTTTTGCGCTCTGCGCACACACCGTTTTGTCATAACCACATTTTCGTAGGGCATTGACTTATTTGTAATTTCTAGACTGACACGACGTGCGCACATTCGTTAATAGATATGGATACTTGGATATTATATTTAATACGGAATGATACTAAATTGATATAATTGTTTGATATATCGGTGTTAGAATGTTTTCTTTTGTTTTAGGCTTTGACGGTTCAAAACTTTGAGAAACTTGAAAAACTTTAAAGGCGCTATTGCACCAAATCTCCTTCGTAAAAGAGGAGATTAGACTAATTAAAATTGAATTTCAAATGTAAAATGATAATTAATTTATCAAATTACGAAAAAAAAGTTTGGTTTTATATTGCTCCTAGGGCAACTGGTTATTTGATATCAGTCGATAGGGGCTAATTTTTTTTTTAATGAAACTTTATTCAAGTTTTAAGCGTTGAAATCGATCATAAAAAAGATAAAAAATACTGTTATACTTGTATGAGAATATCCTTTTTTCACGCCCTTCGCACACGCCGTATTGTCAAAAATTAAAGCTGAAATATTATATGTTTACTTATTGACTTGAAAAAGGATGTATAAAGTTACAGTGACCGTGGTTAATAATAATAGTAATACTATTATCGATGTATGGTATTTTAAATTATCCCCCGTGTGAAATATGACCAATCTCTTGTGTTATGTAACTAAAAGGACGGAATGTAGGTAAGGTCAATAACGGAATTTTCCGATATATTAGGTGTGTCGGACGTCATATGGTACAGGAAATGTTTCGGAATGAATTTAGGAATGAAAGGAATCTTTAAATCCTCTTTTTTATGTATACAAAAGCGGCAGCGTTGTTATGACCCTATTGTTTAGTTCCTTAAGGGTAGTATTATAATAGACCCTTCCGTTATTACGTAAAATGAATGGGTCTGACCTACATTTCGGGTATGATCTCACGAAAACTGATACCGGTGGTGCAGTATTACCCATTATTCGCACGGTGTTACGCGTGAATTACCCCATTGTTATATAATAGGTCACCAGATGACAGCTGGTTAGCAGCTTAGCTGCTTAATACTGAAGCTTTCTGAAAGTGTCCAAATTATACTACTCCTATCAAACATGATAATTGATTTTTAAAACAAAGCAAGTATAATTTAAGACGTATGATCCCGATGTCAATAAATTTGCTTACATATAAGAAACTTTCAAAGTGAACGCATTGTTAATCATCTCCGTCCCAAAACAAAACGGTCATTTTTATAGTCATCAAAGAACAGTAAAAAGTGAGTGCAATTATCACACTCTACTCAATTAAATAAGTTACTGAAAGGATGATAAGCTGAGGTACCTACCGTATATACAATGAAAGTTTTGTAGATCGCAAGTCATGTTGCTTCCATTGGGACAGTCTGCATTACTGCTGCAAGCTGTAATAGAAACAGTACATATCCAAAGCAATGACCTAAAAAACCTTGAAATACCATTTGGAAAAAACTGAAACACGGGAAATTGCGGGGACGCAAAACTCTAACGTCAAACTCGGAAATTTCTGATTGGCTATGACCGCTTAATGCCGGGAACATCTAAAGAATATGGGTTTAAATGAAACAAATGGCGCCGCTTATGCTGGTAATTATATGATCTCTAACGATTTATATTCAATGTCAAATCCATGGCAACCTTTGCCAGTTAACGCACTTATTATTTTTTTATATGAATGTGTAATAGAAGAGAGAGTTGTGACTAAAAGTAGTGACAAATGGCACTCCGATCCAGCAGATGGATTATTTCAAAGGTTTGTAAATATGTCGAGGAAGGACTTAATGCTTCATTCCGACGGAATTTAGCTAACTCGTTCTCGGGACATATAGCTGACCTCGTCCACACGTGTAAATAAGCCATTTCCTAGACGTACCTATTGTACATTTTTTTCCATAACACGGTTCATTTTTATTGCGTTATATTTTTTTAATAAATTATATGCAATACCTTTTTAAATTGCTCCCCATTTTCATCTTGCTCCACGACTTAGTGACTCGGTAATACGAGTGTCTTTGGGGAATGAGATAAAAGAAAATTCAAATTTAAAAAAAATATGAAAGTCACCTTTGTGACATCATACTAAACGGATATCCTGGATCGTAACAATAACCCAAATTCATCATTATGTAATGTGACGAATATCCATCTGTGTAAGTTCGTCAAATGTCATCGATCATATAGCAGATCATGACGTTAAAGTATTCTGAGAAAGACAAAAATGTTTAATAAAAGCAATCGTAGGCATTTTGTATAAATAAGGCGCATATAACAGCAAATATAAATGCCATCATATTTAAGCCGTAATTCTACACGATACTTTTGTTATACTTCTGAGTTAGTTATAATAGTGATATTCATATTCCATTGTATTGTGAGGTCATACACGAGGTATCTTACCAATAACTTCATTCAATGAATATACGGTAAATTATATAATATATCCTTGGCTTATACTGCCAATTATTTAATTTTACCCATGAAATATGGTGCTATATCAGTCATATATACATGTATTTCTTTTTTTTTAAATAAATATGAAATATAAATATAAAAGTGAGCGGAGTCAAGCTCATATTTATTTTAAGGGACTCAGTTCGCCGTTTTGCTTGAAAAATCTGATAAATACAACTTTTTGTTGAATTTTGTTTTGAAAACTATCTAGAATGATAGAAAATGGTCTAAGAAAATAAATCCGAAGACCAATATCTTTAATTCGGTTATTAACGCTGTACAGACGTTTAAAGAGTTGTTAACGTGACGTCATAATGTCGCGTCAAATATCGCGTGCAAAACAAGACGCAATAATATATTACTGCGCGCTGTACAATTGCAGTTGCGTAAGCAAGCAATGGAGTCTGTAACCATTTTTCTCTGACAATGAAATTAAATAAAAATGTTATTTTTTCGTTTTTCGTGTAATATGGTCTATATTTTCACGAAACATGATAAAGTGCCACATATTTTCACTCGCTGTCCCAGCTCGTGAAAATATGTGGCATTTTATCATGTTTCGTGAAAATATATTCCATATTTCACTCAAACGAAAAAATATCCTCTTATTATTTTATCATTTTTTATCTTTATCAACACCAGACTTCTGCATCTAATTCAATGCAAAACCTGCTTTTATTTCAAATTTAGGAATCACACGCGAAAAACATTAAATAATTCAGAATTATAATTACTTAAATGAAAGTGACATAAAGGACATGGTAGATAAAATATTACGTATGATAAGTTTGCGTTATTTATAACTATGCAAGATGTCTGTCTAAGTTAACAAGACCTGTCACAGGAGACAGCAAAGCTCGACTTATAAAATACTGGACGCAGTAAGCAAGACAAAACTATTAAAGAAAAATCAATAATGTATAATTATGTATTAAGTTATAGTAAAATAATATCATTTGTTAACATAAATTCAAAGTTCAAGGGGGGATTATTCTGTAAATAGTCACGCTAGTGTTATGAACCTTGTCACACAACATATGTTAAATTATAAGAAATGTATATTTGAAGTTTAAAGTAAATACCTTAAAAAGTAAAGAAGTTATAATATTTTTAAAAGAAGATCCTAAGTTCAAAGAGAGATAAATCTGAAAATATTGCTTCAAAAGTTATGAACCTTGTCACATAAGATAAATTGATTACAAGGAATAAGTATTTGAAGTTTTAAAACTTTAAAACTAAAGAAGTTATAGTCAAACATAATATTTTTCAAGTAAAAAAATCTAAGTTTATAGGGAGATTATTCCTGCAATCTTGGTGCTAGAGTTATGAACCTTGTTATTTAACATATGATTAATGATAAGAAACATATATTTGAAGTATGAAGTTGATCTCTTTAGAAGTAAAGAAGTAACAATAAAAATAGTAATTTTTAGGAAAATTCTAAGTTCAAGGGGAGATAAATCTGAAAATATTGGTGCTTGAGTTATTGTCACATAAAATGTGGTTGATGATAAGGAACATATATCTGAAATAGAGAAATACAGAATCCCTAAAGAAAGTCCCACACAGTAAAATTGTAAATGTTGTAGGCTCTGTTTGATGAGCCTGTTCATGGACGGTACTGGACAGTGCAAGTTACCGTCCACGCCCTCTAGCACCGTCTTAAGCAAGATTCAACATTTAAACACGAAAATGGTGAAATTTTGAATTTAAAAACATCCGCAGATGTGTTCATACGGCGGTTATCTTGGAGTAGTGCCATTCCGCGAAAAGCGGCGTATGGTCCCCAAGTAAAGGAATGCATGTGCCGAAACTAAATAAAATGGAATTTTGAAACGGGATCAGGATTATGAAGCCTGAAGTTGATACCTTAAGAAATGAAAAAGTTATAATAAAAAACATTGTACTGCACCAAAACTTTAATCTGGACGCGGACGTCGACGCCGGGGCTAGTAGGACAGCTCTCCATATACTTCGTATAGTCGAGCTAAAGTCACACAAAGGATGTTACTAATCTTACATTAAACAGTGATGTAAATAACATTTTACGTATATCTCTGCATCCAAATCCAGCTTATTTTTGATGAAGGTATGGTGTTCTTGGAGTCTTTTGAAAGGAAAATTGTTTAATTCATCAAGGGACAGGGACTGTTCATGTTCACTTGTAGCGTCTAAACCAGGCACGGCCTGCCTATTCACCAACCCAGGGACTGTTTGATTATCCAGCTTTGATTGATCTTAATCATATCAATAAATATTTATAATTTGATTCATCATCTCTTTAGAATTAACCAGATACGGAATTACCTTTTTGTAGCGCATGTGTAAACAAAATTGTAATAAAGTACGAAAATTTAATTCATAGCGTTTTCCATTTATAACTCCAGTGCATATTTGAAATTACACAGGTGAATAATCTTCGGCCAAAACAAGGTATAGCCTGTGTATTTTTAATTGTCATCAATAGTAAATTTCTATTATATATCTTGCGTATCCTCAAGAGCCATAAATTGGTCATGATGTCATCTCATATAAAAATTACATATGGTTTATGAAGAAATAAAGTTAAGATAAATTCTGATCCGTTTAAAATTGATATTGTCGTGAACAACTTGAATAAGAGAATATGATAAACAAGATCAACAAAGGAAAGGCGGCGTTCAATGAACGCAACCCCACATGACCCAGCAACAAGAGCCAGTGGCAAGAAGCCCAGTCGCACCCCAAACAAAAACAGGAAAGGGCACAAGACAGAGCACGGACAGGATAATCACTAAAATGATAAATATTTTGTAACTGATAAGGAATTCAAAGAAAACAAATACATGTTTGAATAGTAGGAAATAATTTGTAATCGTCGTATATATCCCATAATGCAGAACTGTTAAAATAATGCAAGATTGAGCAAAGGTTAACATAGTTGTGGAAATAATACTGAAAACAAGTATCTAATGAAGCTATATAATTCGTGTGTTAGGTATACCGAAAAGCTAACTATAAAGAAAGGCTTTGCGTTATTGTACTTATTGATATCGGCGAAAACACAAACTTCAACGCAAGAACAGTAGCCAGTTCGTTTTTCTCACAAATAATCTGGAACATATGTAATGAGGGTCCTTACAGCCGTTTGCGCTAATTCACTTCTTTTAATTTGAAAATATATATCAACCCTTTTTCCTATTCGAAGTGGTCATTATCGCCCCCCCTTCCATATTAATTTGCACAATTCAGCGTTATTTTTCAAAACTTCTGAGTTACGGGATATACGTTTACAGTAAATATTGACTTCGAATATTTTCTTTGTATAGAGAACAATAGAACAAAAAGAGGTCGGTATATATTTGCGGACCTGTTAAGCGGTCGGTAAGTGATATTTACTAGACCGCTACAAAAGAGCCGATAGGTTTAATAAGTGACAACAACTAAATTTAACCATGACTTGCACGTGAAAGTACATCTATTAAGATTATTGATTTTTCTATCCTACAGTTTTATTTTAGCAGGAGCAATTCTATATAAATAAGCAGGTCATTTTAATGCATATTGTTTTGTAATTGTTGTAAAGATGTCTGAGTTGCATTGTGATTTGATATAGGGCAAAATTCATGGGTAATTGGATATATGCGCGCCAGAAATAATAACGGATCTAGATTTAGTTTCTGGAGAAAATACCCTTCCATAATTGTTCAATTTCCAGGTGAAAGTCAATGTTTAAGAAAGGTAGAACTATTGTTAAGGATGATACCCGCCCTTGGCGGCCCAGTTTCGCTACTTCTGAAAAGGACATCAGCACTGTCAAAGACATAGTTGATGAAGATGCAAGATCTACCGTGGAGGAGATATGTGACATATAGAGCCCTAGTGTATCATATGTGTTTTCTTGAAAGAAAAGTTAAAGCTAAGAAAAGTGTGCTCCCTTTGGATCCTGCATTTGCAAACTTCTGACTAGAAAAAGGAGAGGGCTGAAAAAGCCTCGGGCTTATTGACTAAGTTTATAGATCGAAATCCTAGACGCATGAAAATAATGCCACAGGGGATTTAACGTGGCTTTATTTGTTTAAGCACGAGAATAATATCTGTAACATAATGTTGGTGTGATCGACGTAGCAGGAAAGTGAAAAGAGTTATGTACGTTACATATTTTGACAGTGATGGAATAGAGACCCGTGTAGCTGTGCCTGGCAGGGGTAGTGTTACTGGAATATTTTACCGTAACCATGATCTCACTGCTGTAGTTAATCACTGCGCATCGGTCAGCCTTGGTTGAAGCTTATTTAGAGGAGCAGATAATTAAGGTATTTGCTACATCCCGCTTATAGTCCTGAACATATCCTGTGACTTTTGGTTTAGTCCATACATCAAATTTTGCCTTCGCTGTCGCCGGTTCGAAACCCGTTGTGACGTCGGAAGCACTCTCTACGTTTGTTTAACATTGTTCCTAAAAAACAGTTCAAAACTGCTTTCGGAATGAGTTATGAGGCTGAAAAAGTGTGAATAGGACCATGTTGAATCTTTTGATGGACCTTCTTATCATTTTTACAGGTATGACTTATTAAAATTTTGCGCTGCCATTGACACTTATATGAAAATGCCCCTTGTATAACTTTTAACGTTTGCAATCACAGATTTGTTTAGATAGTTTTGATATGCCAAAACACAAAAAGAAACAACAACTCATGAGGTGTACGAGTATTTTTTCTTATTTTTAAGTTGACAAAACAGCTATATTTTAGTGTTTCTTCATTGATATCTAGAGTTTACTTTGCAATCGAATGAAGAACTCTATTAAAATATATTAACACGAACAAAAATCCTAAAAATTGTAACAATGAATTTTATTATCACAGTAAAAATTGCACAATTAATATACAGGAAAAGCTTATCTTCTCATCAAAAAATATTTTTTATTTTTGCAAACATTTACAAATGTGAAATATTTAAGAAATAAATATCTTTCTTACCTATTGCATTTATTCCATGGAGGATTATGTAAAACATGTAAATTCGAAACAAAAACTCCATTTTCTCTTATTTCCTCGTTTTTATTCCTTTTTTTTAAATCCGCTATCTCGAACCGTTTTAAACGCTTGAATTCTGTTATTTTTGAAATAAGCAGATCAGTAAAGTGTTAGATAAAGTATGTATTAACTAGGTTATATAGCCTATACAATATATTTCAATAAAAGCGTATCTTGTTTCTGTTTACATGACAATAGGCATGAAAAGTTATACGTCGGAATACGTTTATCCTTGTTTTATTCAAAGGTAACATATATAAGGTAAATGAGAAAGGATATAAGGAAGAAAATAAAAGTTTCCCCAAATAAAACAAAAACGAAAAAAGAACACGAACAGAATTGATTTTTTTTCTAACGCAAAAGAACAGGACGTTGAAGTTACTTTGTTTCACAATGTTTAAATTTCCCATTGAAGTTCAAAAGCCTTTAACAATAAATTTTGAATATAAATCAATTGAGAGAAAGGGAAGTGATGTGCCCAAGACAATAATTATATACAGTCCTTATGAAATTCAAAATCTTTGTTTATGCTTATAATGACCCTGTCAGGTAAGGCATTGATTTATTTTCATACTTTTCATTGCGGTCTTTATAATCCGCGATAATTTGTTTTGATGCATTCTTTGTAAAAAGTCGAGTTTAAGCATAAAGTTTCGTTTTTTATGCCAGTAAATGTCTCATTGAAAAGTCTCGGCTGAAAATTGCTTTTACTTGCCGCGATATTTTATGAGACGTTGTAAAGGAACAAAACGTTGCGGCCTACAGGTATAACCTTCGACCTTTTCGTAGAATTTCTACAACACTTGCACAAAAATGGCGCGGATTTCTTTTTGTCCTTCGACTTATTATTGACAAAAGAAGGATAACATTTAGAGTTAAGCAATGACCTTTACGGTCACTGGAGTCAAAATGTTTCTTGCTGTTATAAGATATCGAGGTTAATATGTTCTCTATGACATTTAAAGATAATAAATAAAATGTCTTCGGGTTTTAAATGGCCGCATTTGGCTAACATTTTCCATTTACACGCCTGTATTTTTGCTCGATTTGTATAACAATAATAGTATGAAATAGAATATGTCTGTGACTTTAAGCAAGATAAATAATATTTTATCGAGTGAGCTTTACAATTAGTATCTCATGAGTGGCTGCCCCGTGTGAGAAAACACTCGTGAAGTTCATGAGAAAAAATACAATTACATCACACACACACACACACACACACACACACACACGCACGCACGCACGCACACACACACACACAATAAGATCTTTTTTTTCTTTCTAATGCTTAAATATGATTTAAAGTCATATTTATTCAATGTTTACTTGAATACCCACTGATAGCCTCAATTTCGGACGAAATTCTTATAGATTTATGAAGACTGGAGCTAAAAAAAAAGTTCAGAAAATCAATCTAAGATGGCGATGATATTACTAATGTTAAACAAAAATCATGAATAATAATTTCATAGATAAAACAAGCCAATCTAGATGATGAAAAGTTACACAATGTCGTTTAACAATTATCACTCGGGCGTATGCATTTATTTGTGCTGTCCGTACCGCCATTTTCAAAGTTATAAGGACCGGAAAATCCATCGAGGATTGTTACAAACAAAATGGTTTTATTACACTTCTGCCCGTGGCTAGTGTAATACATTTGTTCAAAAAGTTAGATAAATATGATATTTAAAAAGCGCTCTAATTTCATGAAGTCCATATATACGAATATATATTAAAGTTATGTTTGTTTGTTTGTTTGTTTTCGGGTTTACGTCGCACCGACACAGTAAAGGTCATATCGCGACGTTCCAGCTTTACTGGTGGAGGAAGACCTCAGGTGCCCTTCCGTTCATTATTTCAGGCACGAACGGGTACCTGAGTAGAACCACCGACGCTCCGTAAGCTAGCTGGATAGCTTCCTCACATGAAAGAATCATATATTAAAGTATAAAGTAGCAAATAAGACTGTTTATTGGATTTAATTATTTTTGTTAATAAGAAATAAAAAAAAATAATATTCAGCATAATAATTATCAAATACGTGCATAAGTTGCATTTTCTGAATGAAATAAAATAACATTTACAAAAACAATTAATAAAGTAAACATCAAGTATTTTCATATTGCAAAGTACCATAAGTAAATGATGCGTGACTTTTAATCGTTTATTTACTTTATACTTATATAAATCATAACAAGCGCACACATTCAAATCGATAATTACAGCTAAGCATGAAACTACGATCCCCAAGGTGACATTATCCACACTTTTTTCCCGCGACTTAATTCGTAATTATTACGGATATTATTTCGATTTTTTCGAAATATAATTTCGTTTTTACGAAATATTATTTCGTTTTACCGAATATCAATACGTAATTACGAAATATAAATTCGTTTTTATGAAATCTTATTTCATTTAACGAAATAATAATTCGTTTATACCCCCTTTCAATCGCACCGATAAGATATCTTTATAATTTTTGAAAATTTCAAATAATTTTCGAAAATTGAAACAAGGGCCTTTTTCCCAAAATAGCTGGAACAAGCCCTGTATGATTTTAACAGTAATGTCATTGTAACATTGACTTTGACGACAGACCCGAAAATAAATAGGGGTCATCTACTGGCCAGGGCCTCACTTGTCTCTTCCTTTATTAAATATAAAGACAGTAAATGTCATAGGTATTAAGTTATTGAGCCGGCAAGAAAGAAGCTAATGTTGCTATAGTGATTGCGTGAACTCACAGGATCTATCTCGTAAAAACGAACTATTAATTCGTATTTAAAAAATTATATTTTGTTTTGACGAATTATTCTTTAGAAAATAGGAAATAATATTTCGTAAAACGAGTTAATATTTTTATTTACGAAACAAAATCGTATTTACGAATAAGTCCCGGAGAAAAAGTGTTGAAAATGTTTTTGCATAAGAACTTAACATTTATCTGTTTGAAATTTAAAATATGGCCTATCTTAATCTGAATAGAACATGACCTGTGTGTCGGTATGATTTGGTAAGGTATGTGTAATGAGCGCATTTTGCGCGGAGCTTCTCAATTGCTGCATTGCAGCAACATTTATACTTGTTGTACTTTTGATTTAACTAGTATATCATGACATGAGGTGATCATTGAGGCCATCGTGCATTCCCGTTTATAGTAAGATAATCCAAAAGTGCACCATTTAAGTTTGTTTATTTCTGAACTTTGGAAAGAGAACTTTACTAAACCTGTTACCCATGTCAACTAGTCTAACCCCAACCACAGCTATTTTGAAAACAAGACTTTATAAAACACATTAATTTAAAATTTTAAGGTTAAACGTATATTCCATATTCATTGGATCAGGATCAGGGGTAACAAAAACGATTTCTATTTACTCATACAATATATAGCTTTTATTTCAAGATCGTAGATATTGATGAAATTCGTTTTTAGGTATTACAATTTCCGCAGATGGTTCTTTTAATGCAACGTACGAGATATTTAAGGGCCAGGTGTTGGAAGCAATATATAAACTGACGTGTTATTTAGTTAAATAGATTGGCATTGCTATGAAGTTTTCTTTTGTACTTTTCGATTGGTTCGTTGTTTCTACTATGAGATACGGAAGTAACACGTGTTAAAGAGATTCAATATTGTTCTACAGAAAAAAATGTAGATTGAGAATTGGTTGATTTTTATTCAGGTTAAAAACACACATATGCATGTACACAATAACTCATTTCTACATTAATTTTTTTATAACAGCAGTAAATAGATATATTTGTTTAAAAGAACTTAAGCATTGTGTTACAAATAATGACTATTACAAAAATATATTGACATCATTTCTAAGGTCATTCGCATGGTGCCCTTTATTAATGTCTTTAGGCAAGGCATTCTAGTCATTAATTGCACTATAAAAGAAGGTTTTATTATCTTTTCCTTTACATTTGGGATTCTTAAAGTGTGCTAATTTGCCCGAGTTGAATAAATATGTATGTCTTGAACAGTTACAAAGTTGTGTTTTATGCATGAAGGGCACTTATAATTATCCATTTTGAATAAATTTTTGATACAAAATTGCTTATTTCTGTTTTCTTTATTTATCAATAACATATCAACAAGATTGAAATAATACAATAGGCTAGACATATGTTAATATGTATAGTTAGACATAAGTTTTAAATATCAGAATGTTAGTGTAAAAATTAGATATGACATGTATACAATACGATGCTAAAAAACAAAGCAATGTATCATTATAAGATTTCAAAGGCATATAACATTAAACTTTTGATGTCTAATTTTGTATTATCAGCTTTTTTAATACTTACCAATAATATAAACGTGCAACCGAAATTCCTACTGTCTATTTTACCTCTGGGGTCCATAGGGCGATGTGCCCCCTTTCTGTTTGGGAGTTTGAAGGGGACAGTAGTCCCCCTCATCGCCAAGAATATTTTTGACATGTGACAGGCTAGCTAAAAATGGCCTCAGGTCGATCTTAAGGTAATGTGTAACCAACGTTAAAAAGCCATTTACTCTATCTCTATCCATTGAAAGGTTGCATCACTTTGAAATCAGTTTTGATGGGGAAAAATGCAAAATAGTGATTTTTGGCAATTCATTGCCATTGTTACAGGACATTTTAGATTGAGCATGCTGTTACAAAAGCATTGGGTATGGTTCAGTCGATATTCATCAAGTTTGAAGGAATTTCTATAGTTCCATAGCAGTTTGAACTTGTAACAGAAAGCTTTTCAATGAAAACTTTAAATTATAAAATACAAATGTATGCTCCTGCGGTAAAAAGTTAAATCTTTTTTATGCAAAATATTGCAATCGCTTTTCTTGAAATGTTATCATAGAATCTAAAATTAGGGTTCAATAATTATATTAAAAGGACTTATTATACGGAATGTCTTGGGAGGCACTGTGCAATAAGAAAGTGCTTTAAGATTACATATCATGCCAAAAAGGTCACATGTATACTGAAAATAGATATTTCATGTTAAGGTAGTATACCTCTATTGCATTACCTCCGCTTTGAAAAGTATTCAAATAGGCTAGATGAATTGAAACCTTGGGGGCATGGGTTCAAACCCCAAAAGGGGCAAATTTTTATCTTTTTTTTCTTTTTAACATTATTTATGTATCTCTCAGATCCGTAATGGGATGGAAAAAATGTTTGAATTTTTATTAT